TTTCCTGCTTGGGTCATTCTCAGCAGCAATGTCCATCACCACACCAGAGACATCTTGAGGGCTGCTGGCAGTGGACCCATATGTGGTAAAGACACTGGCAGTGTTAACACTGCGTTAGACCAATCTGGGTTCCATAAGTTTTAATCTCTACTGTAATGCTTGAAATGTTGCTCAGGGTGAAAGAGGTCTGTGACTTCTCGCATCATGCCAGGGTCACAAAGAAACGAGAAGCAGCAACCGTAGTTACAGGATCAGTGAGGGGCATTTGGCTGTCAATTGCTTGATGCAAATGGCATCAGAGTACAACTTCTGGAGGGCAAGAGTTAATGTATGTGTAGGGGGGTGTTCATGGGTAAGTGGCAGATAGCCTTAACAGGCTTATCAGATTTAGGGTATAAGATGCATTGATTGTGGCTGTGATCTTCTGAAATACGATAGCATGGCATTGTAGTCGGCCATTATACAGCAGCAATGTGAATCCCAGCTCTCATGATCTGCAATGTAAACTACTGCAAAGGAGTGGTGTGTTATCTTTTTCGGAAGGATATCAGGTTCATAGGAGAGGTTAATATGATGGGGTTGCCCTTTCTGATTTACTGGTGCTATCCTGAAGGTCCACTATATCACAGTTTGGTGCTGTATCTGACATCTTTGTTTATTACCCTGAGAAGAGTGAAGAAGTTGTGGTAGATACTGGATGGGTTACATATTGATGCTGGTTCTGCTGCTGTCATCTTGTAAATGGATTTGCCTTACAGGGCATCTCCCTCTTCTTGTTGCTGCCCAGTTGAGGCTTAGCATCATCCTTGGAAGAGCTGGACCTCTTCCTACCACTGCCAGATGTGGGGGACAAGTAGGTAATTGAATTTCTGGTCTGCAGGCTTCAGTTGAGCAGCATGTGAATTTGAGTGCTAACACAGCATTCAAGGAGCACTTGGAAGGCTTGTTGATGGACTGCTTTTTCTCTTCTGCCTCCTCCATAATCTGAAGCTAGTCCACACCGTTTCTATTTCACAGCTTAATGATACTTGCTACAGCTGTATGAACTTAGCTGATAATCAGCTCGGTGCTGGTGAAGTGGATGAAACCATCCCACTGCTTCTTTGAGTGTTTTCACAACCTGGCACAACCTGTGCTGTGCTAAGATATAATCCTTAGCCACCGTTCCCAATGTCCAATGAAATGTGGCCTCAGGGATTAATTAAACCACATGAAACTAAATGAAACAAAAGCCATGATGAGCTGTTATGAGAGTCATGTATTGTTCATTTCTTCCCATTCCTTATCCCCTCTCCCCGGGGTAATAACCAACTTCGCTGTAACGTGCCTATATAACCAAGCCTATTCCTAAGTCTTCACACTTCAACCCTGAAGAAGATGGCATCTTCCTCCAAAATATAATATCAACCCAGAAGACTACAATCTTAGCGCCCATTGCCATGAAAACCTCGATCCTTATATCGCAATACTTCACTGTTATGACACTGGGTCATATTAAGTCTGAAATCAAAAGTCAGAATTAAATATTAGTGTCAATCAGTTACAGTTTCATGTGCAACACTATGTTCTATAAAATTTATTGACTTTAAAAGTTTGTTCCCACATCACTACATGTTTCGGCCAGTCGTTGTCGTCGTCGTCGTCGCCGCCGCCGCCGCAAGAGAGAACACAACCCACCAACTCAAACACATATGCACATCGAGAGGACTTATATACAGGGGGGTCCAAAAAAATGTACTCACTCTTTGATAGTCAGTATCTTTGAACAAAATTACATGTAGTTACAATTCTTGTGCGGTAGTGTAGTGTAATGCTTTCTCAACAGATGGAGAAGGTCACATGAGTCACCTGAGTGTCGTGCCGCATGCGCACTGCGAGCAGAAGACAGCAGCAACAATGGCTGAAAGGTTGTTCTTTGAGCAACGCAAGGCTGTATTGAAGTGGTACTGGAAGTATGAAAACATTAAAGAGGTACAATGACAATGGCAGAATGAGTTTGGAACTCAGCCACCAACACGTCGAACAGTTGCCTGTATTCGGGATAAATTTGAAGCCAACAGTACTACTGTTCATGATGTGCATAAGCAAAGATCTGGGAGACCACCGATAGTAACAAGTCCAGCTTCCAGTGCTGTGGTGTTGCAACACTTTACACGATCACTGCAAAAATCTGTGAATCAGTGTGCACGTGAAAGTGGGGAAGCCGATCAAGTGTATGGCGAATTTTGAAGGCTGCAAATATGGTGCTCCACCTCACTACCATTGAGATATCAGGGCTTACTTAAATGACAGTCTACCTGGGCAATGGATAGGTCGAAGAGGTGGTATTGAGTACCCACCACGGTCTCCAGACCTAACATCTCTCAACTTCTACCTGTGGGGATCCTTGAAGGATGAAGTTTGTTGACAAAAGCCAGCTACACTGAACACGCTATGAGAAACCATCGAAGCGTTGTGTGCAGCCATTACACCGGACACACTGACAGCCATAGTTCGCCCAGCAGTTTGGCGGCATCAGTGCTGTTTAGCCTTTGATGGCGGTCACTTCAAACACGTACAATGACTCTCTCTCTCTCTCAGCGCAAGAATTGTAACTACATGTCATTTTGTTCCAAAGATATTGACTATCAAAGAGTGAGTATATTTTTTGGACCCTCCTGTATTTAACAACATAAGCAATGACAGAAGACAGCAGTTTCTTCGCCAAAAATTTTAACACCTGATGATAACCACATTGGTCAACACATGTAGTGATGGACTTTAAAACTTAATCAGTTTTATACAATATAGTGTTGCACATGAGACTGCAACTTGAACCGTGTAACGGTTCTTCTCCGTTAAGTTTCTTGGAGCCCCCCTCCCCCCAAAAAAAACGCCAGGATGCGAGCTGTTCCCTTCTTTCCAGCTGACATCAGGTCAGCTGTCCTTTCCCCCCCCCCCTCCTGGACGTGTCCCGAGGTTTCTTGGTTAGCCCAAGTGAAGCTAACGTTCTCTCTTCCCACAGACCTTCGTCTGAAAGCATCGCTACATTTAAATTCTGTTTTGAGAAAGTTGAATTGATTGTGTTTGAAATTTGGTTTCGGCAGATAGCACAGATCAAAGGGGGAGGGGTGCCCTCACGATCTGGTCAAGGGTGGATCAGTCGTGAGGTAAATCTTTGAGTTTGTATGGCCAAAATACAAGTGACTTACTGAAGTGGTGTACCCCGTAAGGCGCATTTCTGGGTTGATTATAGACGCCGTGTGGCGTAGCGTAATTTTGGTTTGGTTAATGGTTGTGATAAACAGTAGATCGCCCTTCAGGCGTGTTCAGTAGTATATTCAAGCTGTCTATATTTCCTTGTGTTACGAAGGCTTGATCGAGTACATGCTGTACTGTGGAGTTTGGAATACGCCATGAGGCATGGCCTAGTTGAGTTGCTGTGCTGTTGGGCGCAGCGTAATTCTGCATCAATTAGCTATCATATGTTTTAACCAGTCCACTGCCCTTCAGGCTGGGTTCATTTGTATACTTATGTTATCAACATATATATATATATATTGTGACATGTTGCGCAAAGGAGAACTCCCCCCCCCCACCAGCAGTGACGCGGCGGGTGAGTCAGCACTCCCCTCCCACCCCTCCGCGGTGACGTAACGTGCAACGCTACGTACCCGTAATCAACTTCCTACTGTGACGTGGCCCGCAACAGGCACCACTGCGGATATATAAGTGAGCTGCACAGCAGGTACCAGTCAGTTCTACTGTAGCAGTCGGCGACTTGAGTTGTAAATTGGCTACCGCAGAGTTGTACTGTGACAGCCGCCGAGTTGAGTAGTAGACGAGCGAGGGTGTTATCAACAGTTCTCCAGTCAGCCGACTACAGTTGGAGTATAGCAGCAGTCGCGGAAAGAAGAACCGGACGTGTGTGTGATTGTGTAATTGGGAGCGTGTGATACAGTGATACATAGCTCCCCTACTGTCAACATGTAGCCCACTGAAGGCAGAGTGAACTGATTTGCGCATAGGGTTATAAAGTGTGAAACCCCGCAACAGTGTTAACAGATTAATGCGATTAGGGTTATAAAGTGTGAAACCCGGCAACTGTGTGATAAGTAATTGTAGCCGTTATTTGTAGATTGTTAAATAAACCAATTAACCATCTCTACGGCCTATTCAGTAACGAAACACGTTACAATATATATATATATATATTTGTATGTTTGAAAACGCCAGTTGAGTATATGTATACTTGTGCCGTATGTTCCATACCAGCTCCTGCCTAGTGAATCCGTCCAGCCTGGCCCATCGTACTGACTGTGGTTTTTCTCCCTCGAGATCCCTTACTCAATCCTATGGAGGCATAGTGCATCACGCTAACAAGCAAGTTGTTTCTTATGAGCCTGTCCCTTACCCATATAGAGAAGGGATTCACGGGTCAAAGTGGGTAGAAGAACGTGGTTCTTTACCCACAGGGTCGAGGGACACGGCTAAAACTAATTGACAAAAATACAAACAAACTCCGTGGTTTTGGTCTGCAAGCGAACTATACCAACCGGGTGACTGCCGCTTGTTGAAGTTAGTGCCAACTTTAGCTGATAGAGGGCCGACACTAAGTGAGAAGTGCAACAGGATGCTACAGTATAATATTAGAATTAAATATGTTTAACATGTTTGTCTTTCATATTTTTATATCATAGGCCAGTGATCATATCTGAGAAATTTGAAAATTATGTAACTGATGTCAGTGTGCCATATTTTAGCATTTCTGTGATATAAGACCAAACCAAATCACTGTCTGACCAGTTTTAAGAAATCAAAAGCTAAGCAGCTAAGGAAGGTCAGTCTACCATACTTTGACATCTATGTGATTTCAGATTATATTGGGTCAGTGACATGAAGAAATTAAGTTACTTTATTCTCTCTATTACAAAACAAGATGATGCGTTATATCATCATATATTTTTCTCTCAAAAATCTTGATTCAGTATTTTCAATAAGGTTTCCATTATTTGTTTTAGGAGCTGGTCTTGAGCCCATCTGTAGTGCCTAAGGGTACAGCCCACATAAGGATACAGAACTGTTACAGAGTTCATGTTTTGCCACACACTTGGGTACACCACCGTGAGATGCGACGTGTGGAATTCGTCAACATAGAAGAACTTATTATTGAAAGCAATGCATTCAGCTGGAACGAAACACTTGCACTGGAACCGTTTCCTCAGCCAGGCTTGGTTGTCAGTACTGTCAACTCAAGCATTCCTGAAATACCAAGTTATACTTTCAATGGCCGTATTACAGGCATCACTTTCCACAATGTTAGTATTGGAACAATACGTGCATTTGCTTTTGCTAGTCTTTACAACACCGAAAAAGTGGAGTTGTCAGAATGTGTTGTAACAACCTTTGAAGCGCAGGCTTTCAAGAAGTTTTCTTTAGAGAAACTTCACATCATTGGTGGACACTTCCGTGACAGCGTGCCAAGTAGGACCTGGGTAGATCTTGAAGTGGATAATGAACTCTTAATTGAAAGAGTCACCATTGAGAGTATTCACAGTTCTGCATTCATCGTTCATGGTCCTAAAACCTTTCGCCTATATGGAAATTATTTTGGTAATGTGGAAGGAGAAGCTTTTCGTATAAAAATGCATGGAAAAACTTTAATCCAAAACAATATATTTAAAACGCTAGCTAAAGGAGCGTTTATTTCCATAAGTACTGAAGACTCTGTTATAAAGATGAAAGGTCTTCAGAGATTACAGTTTGAAAACAATACTGTAGGGCATTTTGAAAGTGGATGTTTGCTGTTCAACATGACAAGTTTTGAAGTTCAGTTGGACAATGTTGTTCTAAATCTTACATGCTCCTGTACTCTGCTGGAGACATGGGGCTCAGAACTCAGTTCTTATTCACCACTGCAAGGGCAGCAGAACTCACCACCACAAATGGATGCATCAGATCGATTCTGGTGTCAAGAAGACACAGCAGAGAAAAATGGAAGACATTACATCAAATTCAAAGATTACAGCCAGCAATGTATACTGGTATCTGGTCTCCATATGTTCATAATTATCACTGTTACATGTTCATTGCTTCTGCTGGTACTTGTTCTAATAGTAATATTCTTGTGGAATAGATATCGTTCTCGCCACCAAAGACGGTGGATCAGTGTTCCAGGAACTCCCAGTAACGATAAGAAGACGAAAAAGAATAAAGGCAACAATGTAGAAAAGATAAGTGCAAACGGACAAGATTCAAGACTTACGGTGGTTGTACCTGATGGCCGAACATACAGAGAAACAGAACTGCATGTGATAGTTGAGCGAACAGAACCAATTGTGGAACATGAGTATGTTGATACAGCTATTGATGAACGTGCCAAGAAAATCGTGCAATAAAAGATAACATTCGTTTTCAGAGAGAATTTAATTGCCCGTATTCCCAGTATTGGAAGCCATAGTTGGTTTATCTAGTTTACAAATGAAGTATGATGTGTGGAATTCTAATACAGTATTTTGTAGAGCAGTCCTGGTATGTAATTAAAGATCTAGTCTTGAAGCCAATAAATGCAATGTCAGGCTAATTCCCTAGATATTGCAGCATAATCTTTTAAGATGCAAAAATGCTGCTACTATGTCCAGTTTAAATTTTGACAGAAATGCAGTTTCATTCACGAAGGCTTAAGTTTAAGAAACCTGGGAGAATATGACACAAGATTTACAATTTTAACATTTTCCTTATCATGTAGTTCAGCTTTCAGACCTCTTCATGCATGATTTACATTAGTTGCTTTGTTGGAGAAAAGCTCCAAGAGCCAATAAATTTAGCAGAAGAAGCTTTTCAGCATTCATGACTTTGTAATCAGATGATAATCCACCAATATTCTTACTGCCTGTTTTTATTTAATGGTGTTTTCTCATCTGTACAGGTTATGTAGCATCCAGTAGAATGTGACTGTAAGTGCTTAAGATTCAAGAATGCAGAAGGAACTAGTCCTGGCCTAAAATAGGCTATTTTCCTGGGGGATCAAGGAAAACCACAAATAAACTTCAGTCAGGACAACTGTTTTTACGCCAGGAGCCAAATGCATGACTGCCTTCATATAAAAGTGATAACTGCTTAACTGTGAGGTTCAGTCATACGTAATGTTACCAATTAATGACAATTAGTATTTTTAGAGTACAGTCTTCTGGGTTATAATGCCATTTAGTTTGGACAGAGCCCAACATTTTGGAGGGTTATAATGCCTCCATCTTCAAGGCTGAATTGACAGGCCATGCAGGAAATCAGTAGGCAGCAAACAGCTCCTCCAAATGTTGGGCTTTCCCTATCTACATGGTGTTACAACTATACTCCTCATGGTGACCACCATGAGAACCTTTAATACAACATAGTATTTTTATCATTACTCATTATGTATTTAATTTTTAATATGCTGTTACACAGTGTGGCAAAAACAAAACTAGGAAGGTTATGTAACACGTCACAGAAAAGTTGTCAGTTATATGTATTTTTTTATGTCCGTGTAAGAATGATGTGATATAAGTATAAAATCAGTAACAACAATAAGAAGAGTAGTTGAAACATACCAACTGTGTAAGACAATTCACTCTGCTGTAACTATCTCTTATATAGTTCAGTGGTTTACTGTCTCCATTTGTTTCTGGTAAGAGGCATGCAGCAACCAAAGACTGATTCTAAAATCTAAACTTATAAGTCACTAGATATACAAAATAATGATATATGTCCACCAGTACAAATATGAAAGCATGCAGCTAATACTTCCAAAATGCTTTTTAGATCTCCATAAACTTGGGCTACATAAGATTAACAGTCAGTTCAATGATCTGTTGCAACTCATATTAGAGATAAAGAAATCATAAGCAGCAAATCAAATAAAGGTTTTTTATTTGAAAACAGCTTAACTAGTTACAAAGAATTATAAAACTCAGTAACCTCAAGTGTAATATACCACCATCAGGACCCTTTAGAAGAGAGTTATAGAATTCTACTTATGTTCCCAAACATTTGCATTCACACATTCCTTTTAGTGCCAACATATACTATGGAACTGCAACACAAAACTAAAAACAACATAGGAGAGACAAAGTTTTGCATTTCTATATATGCAGGAAGGGGGGGATTCAATCTAAGACCACTTTTGACGCACGTTTGAGTTACTGAGGTAGAATTTCTGTTGCCTTTGTTGCAGACTTACTATCTAAAAGAGCTGGATTCCCTTGGTACAATAATATTCTAATATCCTTGTTTTTTTGGTACTATATTTTGAAACTGCAGTTTCACACAGGCTTGTTGTGACAACACAGTTCACTGAATCGTTTCAGAATCAAAAGTCACAGCAATCTGAAATTAGTACTGCACTGGCATGCAGCTGGTAAGCTGTCATCTCGGGGACATAATTCACCACTATAAAATGTTGCATGTCTGCAGCTAAATAATGTACCAGAAAACACTGCCAAAAATCCTCACATTACTTCTGTTGCAGAATACATAAAATATTATTCCTTTGTGTGCTTCTATAACGGAACCCTTACTATAAATGAGAATAGCTGGCATTCAAATTTTTATTTCTGCAAAAAATTAGTTGTTACAAGTAGAGGGACATTCACACTGAAATATAGAATTAGGCAAATATATCTGTAAAATCCCTGAGAATCATTCAGAGATGGCAGTTTGGAAATCACTCAGTCACAGTATTCCTTCATATAAATATGTGTTAATGTGCAGATTTGAACCCATGTTGGTTCTTTAATATGCGTGGCATACATTCCAAAGTACTTGTTTGTAGAGAATTCCTCGGCTCTTAAACATAAGACAATGTTTCTAGGTCTAATAGTCATAAGGAAAGAGTTTTTGGTTTTGCGGAGTGAAAAATGTAAGACTGCATGGCCTCTGTAAGCTTGTATGTACCTGTGATGCTTCATTTTATCAGTTACCTTGCAGATGTACAACATTATGCTATAAGGCTTGAAGTGGTATAAGATATCATGTACATGATGTACAGTGTAATTGTAAGAGATTTAAAATTGTATTTAAATACGTTTCACTATTAAGCAAAATGTGTTGTCATTAAATCTTACCTCACAACATCAGTAAAAATCCTGACACAATTACATTAAGATTTTTTTAGTGAGTTTCTGAAATACTTGTATGCTGTGAAATATGTATGTTCACTGTACAGGATGAGCATGAGAGTTGACTCTCTGGTCGTCTAAGAACACATTTAAAGGTTTTTTCAGTTCATTTAAATTAAGGATAATTCTGTTAGCTGTTTGATCTTTTAATGTTTCCATTATTTCGTATGCCACCAGAAGAAATCCACCAGTGTCAGAACCAGAGAACATGTTAATCACTTCCTTCCAATCACTTCTGAAGACAATTTGAGTTGAAAGATGAACAAACAGCGTTTTCAGAATGCACAAGTGTACCGGTTCATAAAATACAAGTGTCTGAAACCATCAGCATATAACAAAGAGCATTTGCAAAATGCATGAGTGTTCCATCTCATGAAACACATGTTTGAAACTAGTGGCATGTAACTGTGCACCAAGTATCACATACTCGTACTATGCAGCGCTCACAAGTAGGGCTCACCAGTTGCCATTCCTTTCAAAAGCATGGCCTAAGACACCGGCAATATGCACTGAGACTCCCCATGTACTTTTTTATGGGGGGGAGGGGTGGGCTATGAACACAAAAATGAGGAAGAACTTAAACTGAGGAAGTTTAACACTGGGGTAACTGCTTTCAGATCACTGGAATTGATGTAATAGACAAGAGAAAATTCTCAGTTCCTGCCAGGAATTGAACCCCATTCCTCAATCATCCAGCCCATAACCTTGTCACTATACTGACTGAGCTGCCTGCCCAAAAGGGAGCCAGAATAGCTCAGTCAGTATAGTGCCTAGGGTACAGACTGGATGACTGAGACAGTAAGGATCAATACCCAATGGGGGTAGATTGTTATCTTCTCCAGAGAGTCTAGACTGGCTCTGGGGCTCACCAAGCCTGCTTAACCAGTGGGTATTGGGAGCTCTTTCCCCAGTAGTAAAGCAGCCAGGGCATGATGCTGGCCGCTGAGCTCCATCTACTGCCAAGTTTAAGATTTGTGTAGCTATACCTCCCTCCCCCATACATCTTCATCGCGTGGTCCTTATTTAAGTACAGGGACAACTTCACTTTTACTTTCATACAAACAAGAATTTACAATAAATGACCTGGAGTTTAGCAGTGTTGTCCACTTTGAGCTACATGTTTAAACCTGACAATCTAAAAATCGTCACATGATTATTGGAGTTTACTATGGGGTCGTTCCATGTAAAGTCATCAGAGAGGTCGCTCACCATTTAAAAAAAAAATAATATTTTTCCACTTATTTATAAATATTTTCACGCTTTAAAAATATTTGTCAAAAATTGTAATCCGATTGGTTCTCCCGGTACAGCCGTTTTTATAATGCGAAAAAACGCGTTTTCGGCCCAAATGGAGGTTTGCGTTATCTTCTGTATCTCGATAACTATTGACGCTAGAGACTCCAATTAAAAACCAATTTGTTCCTCATGATATGGACTACAAATCATGTCATTACACGTTTTTACTCAACTCACTTCCTCTAGGTGTAATTAAGCTTGAAACTTACCTATCGATTCTGGGAAAAACGCTACTTTTCACCTTCAGAAACCAGTGAGAAGGGGAAAGTATCAGATCTGTGGTCTCTACCCTTTGTTGTTACCTACACGAGGAATATAATCACATAGTTTTGAACCCCGTACATATTTTCCAAAAATTTCCAGGAGCTTCCAAACTTTGCTCTGGGCCCAAAATCGGCCATTTTTAACATCTCATATCTCCGGTGAGGAAGCTCCGAAAATTGTTAAACTCATAGAAAATAATGCTCTATTCCAGAGTAACATGGAGTTAAAATTACAACTTTGATATTCAACTAATAGCGAAGTTCTTATAATGCGAAAAAACGCGTTTTCGGTTGAAATTGAGTGTTATGCCGTGGTGGCAGGGGGCGTGGAGGTATCTCACCGCTGCCACCAATGTTACGTCGTGGAGGGGGCGTGGAGGTAAATCCCCACCGCTTCCACCACTGTTACGCTCTTACGTCCTTACGACAGGGGTGGATGGGTTATCTCACCGCTGTCTTCACTGTTATGCCGTCGNCCCTATGTTACTATATACATACTATATACACACTTACCGACGTTCGTCGGTTGTATTACACTGGATAATGAACCTGCAGCCATCATTAAGTCTACCTCTTGTCACCCCACTGTCGGGTATTCTACGCCTCTGTATTTCTGAATGAACCTAGTCCATCTAGTTAGCACTATCTTTCTCTGGGGTTTACACTTTACAATTGTCACTATCACACTTAATGTTCATGGCTATATGAAGTTGGTTTCACTTACTTGAGCCGAGAAAACAGATGCTTGCCATCACCAACCAATGCCCACTCATGGCCATCGCCCTCTCGGCGATAGCCTCTGGCTGAACTCTCTATCACATAATAATATTCAAAAGTCAAAAGGCAAAAAAGGTTTTTTGATTAAGTTTTCTAGGGTTTATATAACCTCTCTTTGCTGATTCTTTGAGTTCCAGGTATGTTGGCCTGCCCATTCTGACGTGTTTTTGGGGTCGGTGTGGCCCCCTCATTGGTTGCCCATCGAGAAGGGGTTGACTCTTTCGGGTCTACCGCCTCCTCTGACTCAGCGTTTTCCTCCTGCCATAGTGTTTATGACCTACTTCATATAGCTTCTTCCTCAAAGTCAGCGCTATTACGCTGCCGTGTTAGCATTCTAATGACTCAGGTATTCCCTGTTAAATTCTTTTGTAAACCCAAGCTTCCTGGTTCGTTTCATCATGGCTGTTTCTTAATCTTACAGTCTAGCTACTATTATTCCAATTTTACCCCCAAAAAACTATATCTACATGTACGTGACCTTAGTGGCATTACATCCCCCCGCACAAAATGTGAGATATTTCCTGTAAGAGAAATATTACACTTGTTTTCTACACATGCTTACTAACAGTCTCTTTCACCTACTTTTCGTCGTTACAAATATCATATATAATTATTACATCAATTTTCTTTATTGTCTGTTATTGTTCTCTTTCTGTCCCATTGATTCACTTTCACTTTGTTTGGTTCACCGGAACACTGTAGTCTTGGATGGGGTTCCGAGGTCTCTGGTCTGCCGGTCTCCTTCCGTCGCCATCTCTCGGTCGATCCCTCCTTTGGGCTTGTCCTTCGTGTGGTCCGGGCTGTCGCCCTTGGTGTTGTCTGCTATGGCCCTCCCCCTAGCGCCTCGCGCTCGGAAGATGAGTAACGCTTGTCGGTGTCTCCATAGACACAGACCGAGTACTGTGGCTGCTGCTAGCTAACCGGTCACAATTCCGCTGCATATCCATCTCTGCGTCAGGAGCCTGGCCTCCACCTGCTGTCGTAGTTTAGTCATCGTCCTGGGGGCGGTGTCGGGAGTAGTTCCGTCCTCCGGGTCTTCCCAGGCGTCCCATATCTCTCCTAGCAACCCTCGGTGCTGCTTCAAATAGGTGACCTCCACTGAGTGTAGGAGGTCTGGTGCCTGCGGTGCAACTATGCCTGGGCCGTCCAAATCGGCCGTGGACTGGAACTGCCGACTGGCTGGCAGCGTCAGTTGTCCGATGATCAGGTCACAGCCATCCGGCTGCGTGATGATGCCTGTGCCTTCTATGCCCGTTATGTTCATGGGGCATCGTTGAGAGCTTATACATCTGCATTCAACCCTTGTAAGCTTCCCCACCGCATATAGCCATGAATTTTCAAAAGGGTGTTTCCTAAACACTGGTCTAAAATTCTCTTGACAAAATTTCCCGCGTGCAAGACTCGTATCCCTGTCTTGTTCCGAAGAACAAACTACTCAAACAAGTTTCATAATTCCTCTCAGTTATCGGAACTGTCCCTCGACATATAACAATCTTTCCCTCTCTACAATTTTGAACATACCCTGGTGGTAAAATCATATAACTTGTTTTATCAGAGGACACTGCTAGTCTCTCCCTTCCTGTTTGTACCTGTACAAACTTGCCTAAATTTTGTTCGAATGAAGGTAACGGTATAGGTTCGTAAACGGTGTAGGTTCGCTGTTCGGTTCGTAAGGGTAGTTGGATAATGAGGCAAATTGCTTCGCTCGTAGCCAGTACTGCAACCTCCGAAGATGCATAAAACAAATGCATGTTCTCCGGTTTCAAGGCTGTTATGAACGAGTAGCCTTGCTCCAATTGCACGTAAATATCGCGCAAAATTGCGAATAATTTGTGCGAGGGCAGCAAACTGGCAGTCAATCGGTGTAACGTTGCCATATCTAAGCTTAAAGCTAAGCTTGTTAAATCTGTATAAATTTTCATTATTAATATTTCTAATTCCCTCGTGTAACTGGCTTTCCTTACGGAGTTAGTTAGTTGGTCCGCAACACAGGCGGACAGTATAACAAAATGCCGAAGCTTGTGTATAATCAGTGATCATGTAAAGCACGATACAGCCACAGTTTGTGTTCCAAAAATATCTTATCGCCGATATAATAGAAAATTTGCCTTCAGTCAGGAAAGTTATTTATTCCAGTGAGGCGCTGGAAGCCAATATAAAAACAAAAATTCTTGTCATCACTATGAAGACTTCGGACTTGAAGCAGAATGGAACTTCTTTGCCACCTCGCACGGGAAGAATGCCTGTGACGGTATTGGCAGCACCACGAAGAGGCAACAGCGAAAGCCAGTCTTCAAAGAACTCATTTTAATCAAATTATGTCCCTGCTAGTACTTTACAAATTCTGCACAGAAAATATCCCAGAGATAGTTTACTTTTTGTGCCAAAAGAGGAAGATGCAAGAAATGAAATCATTCTAAAATGCAGGTTCCAAAAGTGCAAAACTGTGCCCCACACAAGAGAAAAACACCGGGTTGTCCCTCTGGAGGAAAACACGGTCAGGTGTTATAAAAGATCCAAGTCCGATGATTTCGAAGACATCATGATAGTGGACACTTACTGAACGTGTACTTTCAAACAAACTGAACAATTTTCATCGGAGTACACGAACTAATACCATTGGATGCAGGTAAGCCGATTGTTGAGGTATTGATTTTTTTTTGCTAAAATTCAAAGTGCCCACAACTTCGCCATTAGTTCAATATCAAAGTTGTAATTTTAACTCCAAGTTACTCTAAAATATAGCATTAATTGCTATGAATCTCAAGTTTTTAGGAGCTTCACCAGAGATATGAGATGTTAAAAATGGCCCATTTGGGGCCCAGAGCAAAGTTTGGAAACTCCAGGAAAATTCTGGAAACTAGGTACAGGGTTCAACCTACGTGATTATATTCCCCATGTAGGAAACAACAAAGGGTAGAAACCACAGATTTGATACTTTCCCCCTCCCACTGGCTTTTGAAGGTGAAAAATAGCGTTTTTACCAAAATCGATAGGTAAGATTCGAGCTTAATTAGACCTAAAGGAAGTGAGTTGAGTGAAACCTTGTAATGACATGATTTATAGTCCATATCATGAGGAACAAATTGGTTTCTCATTGGAGTCTCTAGCTTCAATAGTTATCGAGATATAGAAGATAATGCAAACCTCCATTTCAGCCGAAAACGCGTTTTTTCGCATTATAAAAACTTCGCTATTAGTTGAATATCAAAGTTGTAATTTTAATTCCATGTTACTCTGGAATAGAGCATTATTTTCTATGAGTTTAAAAATTGTTGGAGCTTCCCCACCGGAGATATGAGATGTTAAAAATGGCCGATTTTGGGCCCAGAGCAAAGTTTGGAAGCTCCTGGAAATTTTTGGAAAATATGTACGGGGTTCAAAACTACGTGATTATATTCCTCGTGTAGGTAACAACAAAGGGTAGAAACCACAAATCTGATACTTTCCCTTTCCATTGGTTTCTGAAGGTGAAAAGTAGCGTTTTTCCCAAAATCGATAGGTAAGTTTCAAGCTTAATTACACCTAGAGGAAGTGAATTGAGTAAAAACTTGTAATGACATGATTTGTAGTCCATATCATGAGGAACAAATTGGTTTTTAATTGGAGTCTCTAGCATCAATAGTTATCGAGATACAGAAGATAACGCAAACCTCCATTTAGGCCGAAAACGGCTGTACCGGGAGAACCAATTGGATTACAAATTTTTTAAAATATTTTTAAAGTGTGAAAATATGTATAAATAAGTGTACAAAATATGAATTTTTTTAAAAAATGGTGAGCAACCTCTCTGGATGACTTCACATGGAATGACCCTATGTGCAATAACACCAATTTTTGGGAAAATGTGAAGTTACAGAATCAGTAGCAGTTTAAATGTGACAGAAAAACATGCATTCTGAAATCTCAGGTATGCTGGTAAAGTAAACCTATGGAAGTATGTGGACACAAAGCACACTAATACTGGGGTGATGAAATGGCTACAATTCAGTCAATTGTGTGCGTGCTATGGCTACTAATATGTTTGTTTACAATAATGATTGTAGATGTTCTTAGGAACAGAAATAAACATCTGACTTGGGATGAATGCTATTTACAGTCAAATCTTGTTACCTAAACATGACAGCTGGCTCTTGGCAACTGCAGAGGTCACAGAACTGAATGTGATGGGATGAAATGGTGGGGGATATACAAGAATTCGGAAGGAAGACACTGTGACCTGACAGTGGTATCCCAGCATATCCTTCGTAAGATCAATGAAAACTGAAAACCTCAGGATTACTGGTAATGCATTTGAGGTTCAAACTGTGTACATCCCAAATATAACTCCAGAGCATTACTGTTGTACAAATTAGCTTAATTTTGTCATACAGATCTGTCATATTCTCTTTTAATTATGATATCAAAAGGACTAACATGCATGGTTGGAGGTGATAAGAAATGTGCATAGAATTTTTGTCCAAAGATGTAAGGAAGATACCACTCTGGAGATCCAGGCATTCACAGGAGGATAATATTAAAATGGGTTTTATATAAATTTGGTGTGGCAGTGTGAAATGTAGTCATCTGGCTCAGGCCTCGGTCTAACATTTTCTGAGAACAGGGTAATCAGCTCCTAAGGTGGGCTAAGTATATCATAGTGAAAAGTTTACAGTTAACTTAAAAAACATTATTCTCACACCAACTGAAATGAAAACAAGGCTTTCCTTAGCACACTGTTAACACAAGTAACCAGAGTTTTCAAGGTTATCAACATCATGGTGTACTCCGACCACTAGTACGAAGCTACATAAAAGTCTGACTTCATCATAGTCAAGAGCATCTACCCACCGATTCCTATTGCTGTTCTCCATGCAGCAAGTCAGCAATGTCTCATCATTAATTCAGTAAAACAAACATAAATATAGATTTTTAAGGTGGTTTAAAATTCTCCAGCTGGAACAAATATGGCAGCACTGCAGTGTATTTCATTTTCATGAAAGTGTGATAACTTGAATTGAAAGGTGTGTACACGTGGGGATCAAGAGAAAAATAAGTTGTCACTGGTGGAACATACTCAAAGACCGACTTTATAATAAACCCCTAAATGCTACTCTTTTGTCTAAATAATTTCATTATGATTTACATTAACACTTAGGATTCCAGTATTAATATCTTCAATTTCCCACTCAACAGGCAATTCTCTGCTTATGTAAAAATTAATGGACCTACATAAGCAAATTGTTTGACTGCAAATGGGAACTTACATTATGCTGATACTGGACTAGAAAGGTTTACAGCATTGTATGATTAGAGGAGGGACCTGATATGCAACACTGCATAGCAGGGACCATCACAAAAGAATGCTCTATAATGATGATCACACAACCATAATTATAGACTAGGCCTGGTCCATGATAAGTCCAGTCTATTTAAATTATATTAAAATATAATAATTTCAAGGAAACAGATACACTGAGTTCTACAGGGAGATTGAGAAGTCGCGCACATCACACTAAGCAATTATATTTTGCTGGTTTAATGCACAAACTACAAGACATACAGCACTTATCATTAATGTTTATAACCTCACATCTTAGAAATGTAAAATCAAATCATATCTTTACAACATATGCTCGAAATGGCTTCCCTGTTCAGCAATGCATGCACGAGCTCTTTTTACCATGTTTGAGGCCACTTGGTGGAGCACCTGTAAACTGATGCTGTTAATCGCTGTCATAATGTTCCTCTTGAGGTCATTCAATGTATGCGGATTGTTTTTATAGACAATTTCTTTGAGGTACCCCCAAAGGAATCGGGCGAACGCAGGGTCCACAATCCTTTCGAAATGAGACGGTCACTGAAAAACTCGCGCAAGAACGCATGGTTTCATTAGATGTGTGACATGTGGCACCGTCTTGCTGCAACCAACAACCAACACTCACGTTCATCAACTTCGAGAAGCACAATAAGCTGTGTAATGATGTCTTGGTACACTGGATTGTTCACTGTTGTTTCAAAGAAAATTGGGCCCACTATTCGACGATGTGATACAGCACACCACACTCCAATCTTATGACAGTGCAAGGGCTTTTCATGTAACACATGCGGATTTTCAGATGACCAAATCCTATTGTTTTGACTGTTCACATAGCCACTAAGGTGAAACCACGCTGCGTCAGTGAAGAAAACCCGATCAAACTCTTCAATTCCATGGTTGCCAACAAATGTCTTAAACCATCTACAGTACACTAAGCGTTTTTCTTTATCCAGGTTCTTCAGTTCCTGCACACAGCGAACATGATACGCACGAAGATGTAACTTCTTCATCGCTTTCTCATCACTTCTGTACGAAATCCCTGATTGCGCTGATAGTCTCCTCAGGCTTTCTGAAGGGGAACACTGCAACATTTTCTCCATGTCAGCCAGTTTAGCCTCAGTCAAAATGGCGGGTCTCCCAGATCTCTTCCTATCTGAAACTGATCCACATTCCCGAAATTGGTTGATTATTCTTGGTATCGTCGAATTGTTAGGTACCGCAGAATGTGGATATTCCTGACAAAACTCGTCTGCAACACATGCATAAGAACGACTGGAGAAATGTTCCACAATGTAAACTCGTTCTTGGGAAAATGACATCCCTGTCACGCAATAAACAAAGCTATACTGCAGACGTCGTATGACCGATACACGACAGATGGCGTTTCTACTCATTGTTAGTACAATTTATAACAACTTTTAGTTTGATGTGCGCAACTTTTCGATCTCCCTGTATAAGGTTTCACACCTGCATATCAAAGGAGACCATTTAACTCTAATACAAGTTGTAGTAATTTAAAACTGAAAATGAAGATGTGGTTAAGAATATATTTAAGATTCCTATTGCAACTAGGACATCAAAAATGTTCTTCTGCAAATTTGTGGGGAAGGGGCAAGATGAATTATACATGCATTGTTCACACAGCAGCAAATGTAACGTCTTCTGAAAGAGACATGTAGCCTAGTTCTGATTACTAAATGCAGAAGAAAATACATGTTACTTACCTAAATGGCAGGATACCCTCCAAAGCCTGGGTGATTGTAGGAGGATTAGCCAATGCAAATCCCTTGGAGAGTAAAGCTGAATGGCTCTTATACACATGCTGTGCCACCTCTTCAACCACATCCATATCCTCATCCATCTCTTCCACTGGAAATGTATATAATTTTCATGAAAAACCAAATGAAATGAAAAAGCAGAAATCACCAGTCTGTTAGGGTGTTTTTTTCTTTAATCCCAGAGAAATACACACAGAATTTTGAGAGAAACAGAATAGGACTCAACAGTGATGAAGTATCTGAATATCACTATACATATTCTGTATTTAACAGTATCCAAAGTAGTGAGATCAATATTCTTGTATTGTGAATGGTTATCACCTCAGTGCTATCTCAGATGCTCAGTAAGCCAAGCCCATGCATATGTTGCTGTCTCAACATGTTGGCAGTGTCACTAAAGTTTTATGGCTTTTGTATGACTAATTTTTAAGATCCATAGGTATGTTATGCACTGGAAAACGAAAATCTGAATTTTCTGTCCTACCTTTCATAATTAGAAGTCCTAGTATTTTACATATTCTGTTATTATTCAGTGACAAAGTCTCCTGATTCGCTGTCAAGTGCTTCTGTATACAAATTACTGGTGCTTCTATCCCATGCAGATTTTTGCAACTTAATTAAGTCCAGGGCAATACATGCAGGAACTGTGACCATTCTTGTATCTGTATATGGCGAATACATTCAACTGAGATTGGTGGATTACATATAGTTCTGTAGTCTCCCTGATAATAATTAGGTGATCTGTTGTACTGTATACTCATTTCATGAAAGAACAGCGTTTTGTTTTAAATGCTTGCTTGAATAACCTGAATACATGGCTATCTTGAGATATAGACTACACACTTCATTGACCAATTGAAGGCCATGGCTGCATTAGCAGCTGGAAGAAATCAGCTGAGCAATCAGAGCATGAACTGACTGAAAATTTAGACACAAATTATTCGAATAAATGTAAGATTTGAGGTTTTCATGGCGGTGACTATGAAGAAAGCAGTCTTCTAGGATATGGCCCTGTGTAGATATTGTGAGAATGTCAAGAATAAACTCAGCTGTATAAGAGCAGGAAGGGAAGGGAGAGGGGCTACATGTGAAATCAGTAGAGAGGAGAGGGGAAGGGTCTGAGGAGGTGGGCCAGCAAATAGCAGGCTAGAGAAGGTATAGAATATTGCTTGGGGGGGGGGGGGAAATGAAAGGTTAATGGGAGGGCATTAATCCTTAAGCTTGGGGATTGATATGTGAGTCAGGCATGGACTTGCATGGCCCTGTGGATCTGGCGTCATGTCCCGGGGGTTTCTTGAGGGAACAGATGAGAGGCTTCCATGACTTGCTGAGACAAAACCCCATATTCATATTGTCGGGATGGAGTTCAATCTCAATGGCCTCCGTAATGATGCGATCCATATATCGGGTCTTGGTGGCGAGGATGGAGGTATTCTGAAGCTGAATGCAGTGTCCCAAATCGATGCTGTGTTCAGCCACAGCTGACTTGTCCAGATGTTCGAGACGGATGTGCCGCTGATGCTCCTTCAACCTCACATCCACGGAACGGCCTGTCTGCCCAATATAGACCTTGCTCTTACTGCTCTTATACAACTGGGATTATTCTCGACATTAGTCTATTTGCACCTGCTCACGCTGGTTCTCCGCTAGTGGATTTTCTTCTTTTTTCTTCTACCCTTAAGATGGAGGCGATATGTTCCTCCGAAACTTCGGTTAACACAATATCTGCACAGTGCCATATCCCAGAAGACTGCTTTCTTCATATTTGAATAAAGTTTACTGATGAGATCTGAGGTTTTCACAGAAATGAAAATTCAGACCACAACCTAACATTTATTGGATTCAGATAGTGATGGTGAAAATTTGTATATGACTGTACACCAGTTAACACATCCATGAAAATATAATGAAGAGGCCAACAGTGATGTCAGGGACAAAGATTTCAAACGGAAAGGGATGGGCTACAGGGTACAGCAAAGAACACAAGTGAGTAAGATTTGAGGCTTTCACGGCAGTGACTATGAAGAAAGCAGTTTTCTGGGATTTGGCACCGTGTATATGTGGTGTTAACACAACAAATCCCAGAAAACTGCTTTCTTCATTAACACAAATGAGATTTTCAACTATTTTTCATTGAAGCATGAAATGAAACATGATTTCAGTTATGAAAGTATTCTAACTCCATAAATTCATTAGATACAATAAAACAAATCATTCTTACATAAATTGTTGACTAATTTCATCCAATAAGACAGTTTTGGCCTCCAGACTGCACTGTGGTTCAGAAGTAGTTTTCATTATATAAAGAAGTTAGCCATTCCTTGTCTCAAGCATATCTGTGTATCTTCTAGAGAGATTCTTATCATGTAACAAACGTCCACGTAATTCTTTTAGACCTTCTAGTAGCACTGCAGTAAAGAAAAATGAACTACCAGAAAAATCATGGGAAGACTAGCGTATCTTCATACGGCCACTGGACTGTATTATAGTGATGTCGTTTTCAGTCTTGTAAAGATATGCATTCCAAATTCTTTCAAGAGAGGTATATTTGACCCCAATAGCAGTCTTTACCTCTGCTGCTTCAAAATCTGTTTACTGTAGCTGACACATGTGGCCTATATAACATTTCCAGGCTGGACTTTTGTCACACTGATCAAGGAAACATGGTAGAAAATCTGAACATTACATACAGATATAAATTTTTAATTTCTGCACCTGATCATTATGCAAGTAAGGGGGAGGAAAAAACTCAAAAACTAGTGCACATACCTGGTGCCTATATAACTTTCCATTCAGACCAAAATGAAATTATGATATTGTATGATAATTAGCCAGATAAGCTTATTACAAAGCGGCCTCCGTAGTCTAGAGGTAACGTTCCCACCTCATGACTCTGACGCTGATCATTCTGAGCCCTTATTTATTTTGATGATTATAGATGACCATGAAATTTATTTCTAATTAATTCTCAGTAATTTAAATTTCAAAAGTCTTATGTTTCGGTATTACTGGAAATGTATCGTGATCTATAATATCGTATTTCATCATCTGGGACGTGCAATACGGTGTTTATGTTGAAAATTTCTAGATTCTGGCAGAAACAAGAAGTCTGGAGTTATGACATTTACGATCAGTCATAAATTTAGCTCGGGTACAGGGAACCGGACGCGCCTAAAAGGACAGGTCAGAGCTTGTTACAATTGCCTGTGAATGAGGGCCAGTATGATTGGGTTGCCTCGTTCAAGCTTCCTACGGAAGATGGGATGAAAATGTATATGTCAACACCATCTTTCGAATTCCCGGCGTGGGGGTGCAAGCCATTCCACAAAAAGGGGAGACTTTCACAATATTCCGAACTGAACGGACGTGACCCTTGCACGCTCCGGGACATAGCTAGCCGATAGTGTAACGCTGTAACTTAAAGCTAAGAATACATTAATTTAACAGTGTGGTGAATTAGCAGGTGAATAAACGTCAATTGGCTCAACTCTCAGAAAACGCTTTCTTCGGCATTGCTACCCTGAGACACATGCAAACTGACCCAGCTAGTTTCCCGTACCTATACCGATCTTCCTTAGTTTGATCTGTGAGGACAACTTCCAGTAGCCATCATACACTGTCCTAAGGTAGAAACAGGTGTAGCAGGGATAGCACCATTCCTACTGCGCCGATACAAGCAAAGGCGGGTTGGAAAAGAGTGGTGTTAACTCGTAGTAAGCGGGTTCAAATACCCGGCAGAGGTCGTCGAATTTTTAAGGGTGGAAAAATTCAGGGAACAAGTCCTCCGGGAGGGACTTCAAGCCGTGGGTCCCGTGTCGTAGCTTTACGGCACGTAAAAGAACCTCATACCTCCAAAGGAGGTCACTGAGCCAAAATTGCGGACGTTTGCCGCCCAACAGCAGTCACTAATACCTCCGGTAGATGGGGGAAGCATTATAGATACTTCTCAGCCAGTAGAGCCGGTCTCGCTGGCTGGGCGGGACTGATGGTAAGCACCAATACCGGTAGGATATAGAGGCTGGTAGAAATCATAGAGGGAAGCACAATGGACCACTACAGGTCTAAGTGCATGGGGAAACCCACCCTCTCTAATAACTAACTAACTAAGCTTATTACAAGGACCATGCTGGTTGAAAAAATACAACCGTTTTCTTTGGCATTATAATCATATAAAACAAAGGGCTTTAATCATAAACAGATAAAAAAGGCTAGTCATTACTTACCTACACCATATTATACAAAGTATCCATATAGAATAAAATTTCTTTGGATATTGTCTACATAAATATTTCACACCTTGAACATCCGTACTCATCATTCTTATATACAAGCCTCTGTGTTGATAGAGTAGGAGTTCTCCAATCAGCAAGCATAAGTAGCATACACTACTGAATATTTATCATTTAAACAGTTAATGCACCTCCTTTAAAGAGTAAATACACACACTCATACAAACATACATATGCAGCCCTATATTTTACCACAATGCCATGGACCTACTAAAGAAATTAACCAGTGTGCTGCTGTTCACTGCTTGATGAAATGAATCATTATTTGATTTGTGGCTATCACAGTGAAGACTATGAACAGCGCTGTCTTCTGGGATGTAATGCTGTGTAGTCTAGTGTTAACCTTTACTGAACTACATGGCTTTACAGCTCAGAAGATAGCATTCTTCATGAAGAACTACTACTCTACAACTGAAATGCCAAACAAATAAAGGTGAAACCTTCTAACATGAAATACACTTCCCCCCTCCAAATGCCTTTCCTAAACAAAAAGCAATATCATCTTAATTTCCTCATTATATTTATGTTTTAAAGTTATTGCATTTCTTCCTTTGTCCTGAATGAACTACAATACTGTCATGTGTTGGGTAGGTCACACGACAAATAACTTTACGCCGTCTTGGATATAGCAAATTTATTCAACAGTCTCACATTTACACAATTCACAGTTTCACAGTTACTGCCATCTGCAGTATCACACTTACTTCTCCTGCAGTCATTTCCATTCACTCCAGTGAATGCTAGACTGCAACTGACTGGTTACTCTCTCTCTGGTAACTGGCTCAGTACTCATTCCTGAATAGTGTTCGCTGCTCCTTATTTAGGCTTGGCATGGACAACATAGAGAACACCTTGCTGCTCGGCAACAGATATCAGGTATTGTTGTCAGGTGTTTTTACCTATGCACTGCCTAGCAATACGGAGTCGCCTGTTGCATGACATCACAGCCTCAGGGAGGAGGGGTGTTTACTGAGTGCTGCGTAATGATAAGAGTGGAGTTACGTGACGTCACTCGTGGAAACGCAGAGTTCACGTGACCCCTACTTCCTGTTGAGCCATCCACGCCATGCTGCTCCCTTCTAAAGGTTGTTCGTCCCGAACAGCCTAACGGTACATCCCCGTTCCTTTTCCTTCCCGTTGCTGTGTCTCCTGTTGTTTCGGCTACTCCTCTTGCTGCGACTGTTCTCTGGCTGTTACATCCTCTGCTCTTTTCTTAGGATTGTTCATCCCGAACAATTCCATGGCCCAGCATTCGTCGGTCCATTGTTTCGCATTCACTCATCACTTTCATCCATTGCCCATTCATTCTTGCTGGGGAGGCCGGTACTTCTATGTTACCAGCTCCTCCTCTGCTTGAAGTATCTTTTTCCGTTTTGGAGGGGGTTGACCCCCCACAAGGTCCAATTCTTGTCTTGTCGTAGGCTGACAGAAGATCTGACTATTCGCTTTCTGATCTTCACGCTGACAATCTCATAGATGGTCTTCTTATGAGTTCTTCTCCCTCCTAGGTGTGATCGCTGTCCTGATCTACACCCTCCGATGATGTCCTTGGTTGGCACCTTTTTCTTGTGGCATAGCGGCCGTCTGCCATCTATGTTCTTTATTCCCGTTCTTCCTTTCCATGTTTCTTGTTCAGCATTGACCCTGCTTGAATATTTCTTTACAAAATCTCCCTTGCACCATGTCACACCTGCACGGATAGTCATATTTCTGTTGGCAGCCAATTCGTGCCATGGTCCACACTTTCCTTGGGTCATAGATTTCCTGAAGATGTTCCTTTTGCACCATGCCACTGTTGCATGGCGGGACACCTTCCTGCGGGTTTTCTTCTGCCGTGCCACTTTCGCATGGTGGCTTGTACCTCTGCGGGCAATGGCCAGTCTTCTTTGGCACCCATCCTTTCCCTGGATCCGTTTTTCTTCTTCAGTTCTCCAACTGGCATCACTGTGGTGTCTTCTATGGGGACCTCTTGTCGTTCTGCCACCTCAGGTTTCATGTCCACTGAGGTCGGCTCTTCTTCTTCTGGACGTGTCTCCATTTCTTGGCAGGCCATCGTCTCTTTTCTTGTATTCGTTGTCTCAAACTGCACCGAGCGGATTTCTTCTCGCGAGGCTTTCATTCCCTCTTGCAGTTTTTCTTTGCTGACTCTCTACTCCTCTTGGCCAGTCTCCATTATGGCCAGTAACTTAGCTTGGTTGGTTCTAATTTCATCCTTGTCTTTCTTCCTATTGGCCTCCATTTTCACTAGGAAATCTTCTTGGGTGGCCAGCAGGCGTTCCATCATTTCTTCCATTTTCATCACGTGGCAGTATAATTCGTAACTTGTGGCGTGTTTAAGTTCATAAACCAATTCTGACACCAAATTGTCACGTGTTGGGTAGGTCACACAACAAATAACTTTAGCTTTCTTGGATATAGCAAATTTATTGAACAGTCCCACATTTACACAATTCACAGTTTCACAGTTACTGCCATCTGCAGTATCACACTTACTTCTCCTGTAGTCATTTCCATTTACTCCGGCAAATGCTAGACTGCAACTGACTGGTTACTCTCTCTCTCTAGTAACTGGTTCAATACTCACTACTCCTGAATAGTGTTCGATGCTCCTTACTTAGGCTTGGCACGGACAACATACAAAACACCTTGCTGATCGGCAACAGATATCAGGTATTGTTGTCAGGTGTTTCTACCTATGCATTGCATAGCAATAGTCGCTGCACAGAGTTGCCTGTTGCGTGATGTCACAGCCTTGCAGGGAGAGGTGTTTACCGAGCATTGCGTAATGACAGGAGTGGGGTTACGTGACGTCACTCGTGGCAACGCCGAGTTCACTTCCTGCTGCGCCATCCATGTCACAATATTATTACACATATGAATAATGCTGAGTTAGAATCTATGATGACAGCTGTTCAGCCTTAATGTTGTTTTTGTAAGATCACAACAGTGAGCATACTTCATTTTGCCACTGTTGCTGACCAGGATATCATTCAAACACATCTGAATACTTATCCCGATACAGCAAATGCCAAATGTCGCAGTCAAGTGGGTAGTCCACCTGCTTCATATTTGAGATGTTCCAGGATCAAAGTTCAACTTAAAGACTGGCTATCCTGAGGTTTACATGGTTTTCATCAGTCCTTCCAGGTAAATGTTATGACAGTACATCAAATTATGTCATGACAACTTCCTTGCACATTCCTTTCAATCATTATTTACTAAACATTCTACCACTCGATGCTATATACCAAAAACTATTGACCACATCATTAAATAAAGCATAAATTAAAAATACAATAAATAAATAATGTAACCATATTAGTAAAACAAATTAAGAGAGAAAAGAAAAGGTACTACGACACAACAGCACTAAAAGAAGGGAAAAGACACACTGGCCTGCATTTCAATGAATATAAGTAAAAATTCCGTAATAAATATAAGCAATAACTGTGGGACAAATTGAACTAATATACCTGACACCGGTGGCAAAAGAAGATCTTTCTTCATGAGCGATGCTGCACACATTCCACCCAGGAAGGCCAATTCAGTTTCTAGATGCTTCAAGCCTTCCCCTGGATTAGTATGCCATTCATATCCAACAACCAAACATCGGAACCCATAAAAACAAGCCTTTTCATCTTTCACATAGTCTGAAGCAGTTTCCAAAGAGAATATGACTTCATTTCCTATATAAAAAAAGAACACAACATAATTTCAAACACAGTTATCTCAGTTAGATCTGTTAAGTGTACACTTTCATGCCTATTCAGGAAATCCAGCATGGTTATAACTGTCTGTAAACCTATAAGTGTCAAGTTTCACTTATCATCATTTATTATAAATTCTGCTTCCAACTACCATGCTTGTCGTCGTCATTAAGATGATCATGGCTCTCCTCTCAATACATCAAACCCACTACAAAGTTCTAAAAGTTCTAAAAGTCTGTTGCTAGCCAACAGACAACCATTCCTTTGGTACTATTTGATGTCCTGGGAAGAATCTGTGTATCAGCATACATTCCAGCTGCAATGGCATTGTTATTGAGGGCAGATGAAACAACGAGTTCTTTGTGGGCTAGATGTTTTCTTCTATGGCCTGTCAACATGAAGAGCAAACCGTTGCTCCTATGGCAACAGTAATGCAAATAGTATGACACTGTAGACACTTCAAGCATGTTACAGACAAGTTAAGACACATGGTCAATGACCAGTCATGTTTTAAACAGGTCTCTCAAATTTTATGGAATTAGCCTCGTGTGAAGAAATAGAAATAAATTTTAAGTTACCTGCACAAATGACTACACATATATTATTTCCTCTATAAAAACTGAAGCTCTTGAAACACCTGCAGCTTCAGTAATTTCATGCCACTGTGGATCTGAAAGTTGAGCTCCAGGACTTCTCTAACTTTGAATAACAGATCTCTGGACACACAGAGACATGAAAGCATTTCATACTTGAGCTCTGAGGCTGATTTTGAATTTAAAAGACATTAGAAAAAAATTATATTATGTTAACTTAAGGTGTTCAATCTGTATTTACTTACTTACTCATGGAGTTGAGTCCTTCTGGAGGAGCTGCCAATTCTGCAGCTACTAAAGAATTTCCCAGCATTTTATGGAACCCGAAGGTTCATTACCATGTTCACAAGAGCCCTCCACTGGTCCCTATCCTGAGCCAGATCAATCCAGTCCATACCATTACATCCTATCTCTAAGACCCATTTTAATACTGTCCACCCACCTACGCCTTGGTCTGCCCAGTGGTTTCTTTACTTCTGGCTTTCCCACCAATATCTTATATGCATTTCTCTTCTCCCCCATTTGTGCTACATGATCTGCCCACCTCATCCTCCTTGACTTGATTTTTCTAATTATAATTGGAGAAGAGTACAAGTTACGAAGCTCCTCATTATGTAGTTTTCTCCAACATCCTGTCACTTCATCTCTCTTTGGTCCAAATATTCTCCGCAACACCCTGTTCTCAAACACCTTTTTTAATGTCAGGGGCCAAGTTTCACACCCATACAAAACCACAGCCAAATTATAGTGTTATATATTCTAATTTTTATGTTTTTGGACAGCAGATGAAAAAGACAAAAGCTTCTGGACTGAATGGTAGCAAGCATTACCCAGATTCTCTCTCCTCATACTTGACTCCTGAATCATATTTTGATTTGTTATAGTGGTTCCCAAATATCAGAACTATGCCACATATTCAAAACATCTGTTTCCTATCATTATGTCATGATTTTGCCCTGCATTTTGGTGATGAGACAGCAACATGTACTTAGTTTTCTCTGTGCTTACTTCTAGACCAACCTCCTTGCTTGCATCAATTAAAGTTTGTGTGTTTTTCTTTATGGGATCTTTATGGTGTCAGCAAAGTGCGGTGGAAAGGACAAGGTGAAATAAGAAGTGGTGATTATACAGTGTATTATTCCGGAGGTGAACGGGCTGAAAGAGGTGTGGCAATAGTGGTGCATAAAAGTGCACTGAGGAGTGTTGTTAAGAAGATTGTCTGTAATGACAGTTATTGCTCTGAAGTTATAGATGGAACCGGTAGATATACTGATTATGCAAGTGTACATGCCA